TTTACAAAGAGACCATTAGTCTTTTGTACATAGAGATCGTAATCATTCCCTCTCATTAGATGGTTTGGGGTAAGTCACAAAGTCCTGAGATTTTTTTTTTTTTTGGAACATTGTCTATTAATAAATTATGCTCTTACAACAATCCATTTTACTTTCAAATTTTAGGGAAGAGTGGTTGTGACTTCTTGTACAAAAGATAAAAGGGAAAAGTTTTTATAGAGCCGAGGCTCTAAACAATCAAATTAGAACCCAGCTCAAAAATTTCACAAGAAGAGGTTGTTTTATTGTCCGAATATCCCCAAATTGATCATCTCGACATCAAGATGCATGGACAAGAGAAAAAAATAGATTTCAAGTTTTGAAAATAGTGTATTTTGTAACACAGTTTTGGACCGTCAATTTTCAAGATTTTCAAGTTTTCATAGATCTGTTGATCTACATTATTTTGGAAGCTTTTAAACTTTATAAATAAAGATGAAAAACATATTTTAAGGCTATCACAAAGATTTCCAGTATTGAAATCACATTTCTCGATACTATTTAAACGTAGGCTCTAATTTGATTGTTTAGAGCCCAGGCTCTATACAAACCGCACCCCAGATAAATACTCTCTTTTTAGACAATTCCATATATATATTCTTTCACTTGGTAGGGAACTTGAAGTTTGGGGGTTTGAATTTTGTTGAAATTTGATTTTGTAGTAGAAATAGTTTCATTAGTAGGTTATGTAGAATGATTTTGAATTCAAACTTGATGACTTTTAGCAAATTTGGCTGTTTCCTTTGCATTAGAGTAGGGCATGGGTTTGAACTTGGTGGAAATTGTGTTTTTAGGAAAATATAGAGGAGAGCTCCGTTGTTGGAGTTAATTGTTATTGTGATCATCATCGTCCTCAGCGGAGCCTTACCTCAAATATTTGTCCTCGATTACATGAGCCATACTCTGAGTAATCGTTATTACGATCTAAATTATAAGACATTAATGAAAAATAGGCCAAGCGTGCTATGATCCAAATGTGTACATTGATAATGTAGTCATGGGACCTGCAGAACATGATATAGCTTCAGCTTTTGGCCCCATAAACCCTCGTAGCTTCAGTTGTATACCCCAGACCTTATCAGTATCCCACTCATATATTACAGCTATGGACTCTCTCTGATAACCAAATAAAATTGCAAAGAATTCTATGCTCCCTCAAGAGTTTGTATTACATCGTGATGACGGTCCATTGTAGTTAACTGGTGGTCATACATTCATGCCCTCATGTAAGATCCTATCTAGGATAACTTTTACAAAACCAAAATTTGGGACGTAACCTCAACCTAACGACGCAAAGGAAAACAAATTCACAAGTATCATGCGTCATGCATCTGGCTTAAAAAGACAAGTTCTAGGATGAAAAATACATGGTCGAATTTTTGGACGATCAGATTTAAGTGTTTAGGATTTCAAAATCGATTTGTTCCCTCGGAAATATTTATCTTCTGATTCTAAAGTGGATACCAATATTTAGATCAAGAAATTCCTCCTATCCTGAGTAGGTATTTTGCCTATAGGATTAAGTGTGTAGTTTGTTACAATGGAACTGCGCTATACGTGTGTATGGTGTGTTACAATGAAGTTATTGTATACTTTATATACCAGATAAGAAGTGGACGGGGAGTCGTAAAGTAGGGTGCATTCAAATAGCTTGACTTTGAATCCAACATGAGCCATTTGATAGTTTTTAATTGTTTGCTATGAGCCCGTTGATTTTCCTTAATTGTTATATACTGAAGTGTTTCAGCGTGCTGACACTAACCAAAGGGTTTAGTGTAACACTTTGGCAAGTGTCAACCCACGATATCAGCCAAAGGGTAAAGTATCGATGACACTGCTATGATGTGTTTATACTCTGGTAGTCTTTTATTGTTCTATACTCTGGTATCTTTTAGTTTTGACTTGTGTTGAAGTGTCGACCCATTTGAAAAAGCATGAAGTACTGCTCGGAGGTGTTTACTTTGAATTATCAAGACTCAAATATTTCTATATGCATTTACTATGTGATGGTGGACAGTGGTGGTCCACAATATCACACAGACCGTTCGGTAGTAAACAGGGAATAATCTTAATCTTGATCGGTATCATTTGATTGTCTTAGGGTCGGTTAGTCATGATCCCTAAAATGATTTTTACTACATAATGATAAAAAGATGCATCATATGGAGGTGCAGTGAAAATCGAGTTTCCATAATTTATAGATCTTTATCTGTCTTTCGTTATTAATGTTATCGTGGCTTTTCCTGTCCCTACAAGATGCAACCACACATAATCACAAACCACATAATTTGTGATTTAAGGTTTCTTATCTTTGATTCTACTAGTGATTGTAATAAAATAGTCCATTTTCCCCATAGTTGTTTGCTTGGGTTGTATCGTATACTTTCATCCCTTCTTTGTGTGTGATAAAGTTGCATTTTGCATGTGTGACTCAAGAAATTGTGTAATTTATCTGAATTCTTTTGCTAGCTGATCCCAATTAGTTGGAAAAAGCTCTAATCATAAAGATATGAATTCTTTTGCTATATAAAATGAATTCTTTTGCTACATAACGGTATTGCTTGCATATATGGCATTTCCCCCCTTTTATTTATTACAAGTTACACAAAGGGCAATGTGCCTACTAACCTCTGTGCTCAATCACTTAAACATAGGTGTACATAATTGGTGGAGACGGCACTATGCGAGGAGCCGTGAAGATATACAACGAGGTCTGTCGCCGAAAGCTCAACATCTCCATTGCAGGAATCCCTAAAACTGTAGACAACGATGTTGGGATCATTGATAGGTCCTTTGGCTTCCAAACAGCGGTCGAGATAGCACAACAAGCGATCAATGCAGCCCATGTTGAGGCAGAGAGCGCAGTTAATGGCATCGGCCTTGTAAAGCTCATGGGTCGAAGCACTGGTCACATAGCCCTACACGCCACCTTAAGTAGTCGCGATGTTGATTGTTGTCTTATCCCTGAGAATGACTTTTACTTGGAGGGAAAAGGCGGGTTATTTGAATTCTTAGACCAACGGCTGAAAGACAACGGTCACTTTGTGCTCGTAGTAGCCGAGGGGGCGGGCCAAAACCTTATTCCGAGAACTGAAGAACAAAAAGAAGAACGTGATGAATCAGGAAACCCCGTGTTTCTTGATGTCGGTAATTGGCTAAAATCAGAGTTGAAGAGCTGGTGGGCAAGAGACCATAAGGGATTGTTTACAGTTAAGTATATTGATCCAACATATATGATAAGGGCAGTGCCAGCAAATGCAACAGATAATTTATACTGTACACTCTTGGCGCACTCGTCTATACATGGTGCAATGGCCGGATTTACAGGGTTTGTGACTGGTCCGATCAATGGGCATTATGCTTATATTCCGGTGGATGAGGTGGCGAGGGCGAAGAATTTGGTGAATACTAGAGATCACAAGTGGGCATGGGTCAGATCGGTTACCAATCAGCCAGATTTTGTAAAGAGTTAAGGCCTGAATGGTCTGTACATAATATTTCTTTGATGATAATTATTGGTGGATTCTTTTTTTATATGAAGATTTAAAATCAATATGGGTGATATCAACTTCTTCTTTTACTGCGTCTGGTTTCCAGGGGTGTTACCACTGTTTAATATTTCCATTTCCTTTTGTTATCCTAGGGATAGGTGGTGATCTTGTTGTGAGCTTGAAGCAAAAAGTTAAAAAGTGCTTCTATCTGAATAACCAAGTTGCACAGTGGATTTTTGTTTATTTGAAACTTGTGTGGATTTGTCTGCTCATGAATGTGCATGTGGTTCTTTTTTTTTTCTTTTTTTAGCATCAACTGTTAGTAGTTTTGGAAAGGGACCATTGGTGGGCTAGGAATGGAAACCGAGACTGATAGTTGAGTCACATGTGGTGCTACCATCTTGACCTCAACCCCATTCCTCACTTGTCTAACTCGAAACAAATTTTGATCATTGCAATCTTACTTCTGCCTCATATTGAAAATCATGAATTTGGGCCTTCAAAAGTGATGTCGATTTCAAAACACATCTTAAATCACCGCAATTTCATATCTGCCTCAGATTTATGATTTGGAGCTCTAAGCAGCCTAGATCTGATGATCTTTGAAAAATTGAAATGAACCACCTAAAAAATGAGTATAAGATTAGCTACTTTAAGCTCAAAATTTCTTTTTCATAGTATTGGTGATCAAGATGATAAATCTATCAAAGATGATAAAAATATCTGTGAAGTCTTGGATCTCCATTTCATTTCTAAGATAGACTTGGGCGCACCTTGCGCACCTAAATCCTACCCTTTAGTGTTGGCACTTGATTCTGATCTTTGAAACACTCTATTATGGCACTATCACTATTCTACACCTTCATCTTGATGCAGGCTCAGATTGTTCTCAAAGATACAGTGGGTGCTCTTGGTGGCCATGGCAGAGAAAGTTCCTTCCTATTTGGTAACCCATGCACAAACATGAATATGCACAAGAACAGTGAGCTAGGATTGTGTGCGTGCGGGTGTGAGAGGGCACGCTTGAGGCAAAATTTCTTTTCCTTTTTGTTCATTTATGACCTGAAAATTTATTTACTTGTTTATTTATGACCTGGATATTGTTTGAAGTATCTAACAAGGTTCAAAGAATGTGAATTTAGTATTCAAGTAATATATTACAGTGATGAGTTCATAAAGATACTTAAGATGGTTTTTGTATGCAAGTGGTAATTCTTTCAATTTGTGACATGTTAAATGAAAGAATAAATTACAGTGACAAGTTCATATAAGATGCTTTCCACATGTAAGTGGAAATCAAAAGAATAAATTACATACATATACCCAATTTTTCCTGTTATTACAAAAATATCATTTTATTTTGAAATTTACATTCATACCAAATGCCTCGATTTTTTTTCCAAGTGGATAGTTTTTTCATTTTGTTACATGTTTAAATTAAAGAATAAATGACTTACGTATCCCCTATTTTTCCTGTTATTACAAAAATATCCTTTTATTTTGAAATTTACATTCATACCAATGCCTCGATTTTTTTTATTGGTTCCCAAACTAATCCTTTTTTGGATATTCAAAAATTCGAAAATCGACTTTATTTTTGGATAAGTCGAAAAGTAGACCTAGGCTTTTTCTCCAAAAAAGAAAAAGAAGAAAATTCTCCTCCCTTCCTCGTTGGGTTCGCGAGGTAGTGATTTTATTTGTATGAAAAACAAATTTGATTCTTGGATGTCCGAAATTTAGTAAATTTGGACTAAACAGTTTTTGGATGTTGAGAACCCGAAAAATTGCTTATATTTTTTGGATGTCCAAAAAAGGCACTTTTTGGATGTTGAGAACCCGAAAAATTGCTTATATTTTTGGATGTCGAAAATTTCAAAAGTAATTTGAAATTGCACATAAGACTTTTTTTTTTATTAGTGGATTTTCAAAATCTGGAAATTAAAAAATAACCAGTTTTGGATTTTGAAAATATGAAAATCTTTAAAAAGAATGAACTAACTTTAAGGTGTGTATTTTGGATCTTGAAAAACTGAAAACTTTAAAAGTTTTTTTAGATTTTGAAAATTCAAAAGTCTCACAAAAATAACTAGTTTTGATTATGTTAATTTTCACATCTTGAAAATCTGTAATAAAATCAGTAATATGGGTAATTTGGTCACCGGGAAGAAAAGGAACGAAATTATGCAAAAAATAATGATGAATTTAAATAATGTTGATTAAAGATGAGACCTTAATTATTAATGAAATTAATTGTTAAGGGAACACCTGGTAAGAAAGGAGGAAGAGCTCATAAATTTTGGTTTAATAAAAGATCAATATTGGATTTTCGAAGTGTGGAGCTACATAACATGCTTTGGACTTAACTGACGTAAAGAGAAGTAATAACAAGATCCACGACCCTTTAGATGTGTGTTTATGAGTAATGCATAAAGCAGTTGGACATCTAGATTTATGGAACCGAGTTTTAAAATCATCACTGAGCCTAAAGATGTTAAATTCTTTGAGAACATGATTTGAACCAGTCAAAGTAAACAAGAAAATGCAATTGAACTACCAAGAAATGAATTCAAGATACTTTTTGATGAAGCCATAAAGGGAAAGACGGATGTGTAAGAATGAAAACATCGATTTAAGAAATGATCCATTATATAATTTTCGGCTTGATTTATGTTCTCATCTATAATTCACAAACCAAAATATGATATTAGGAGTCTTGATAATGGCCCTCAGTTTGGATAATGGACTTACAACATTTAACGAAAGTTGCATGATGCTACATCTCATAGAGATGCCATAAATAGTTTCATACTAGTATAACTGAGAAAGGTTTTCTGAATGTTTTGACATTATGTTAAGATATCTATTATAGAGCTATTACACACAATTACCTCATTTAACTATTTAATTATTCACCAATTCTATATGCTCCAATGGCATAAGCAATTGGCAAAATATTTCTGTCCAATGCTTTTTTAGAAGGAAATTTTTTAGAAGGAATTAGACCGATGAGTGTGTATAGTAGATTTATAAATTCGTTACGTGTTGTTATGTGTCTTTATCTTCATATTTTACGGCTGTTTTCTTTTTCTAAAGTCTATTCTCATCTTCTATTTGAGAACGATTTTAAAGTTAGTGTTATCATGTGTCTTTATCTTCATATTTTATAGCTTTTTTCTTTTTCTGAAGTCCATTCTTATCTTCTGTTTGAGAACGATTTTAAAGTTAGTGTTATTATGTGTCTTTATCTTCATATTTTACAGCTAATTTCCTTTTCTGAAGCCTATTATTGTCTTCTATTTGAGAACGATTTTAAAGTTAAACGAAATCAAGATCAACTTTATCATGTTTCATCCGTTTCTGCTGCTTTATCCAAGATGGGGGTAAGTAGCATATTTCATAGTTTGCATTTGGAAAGACTGATCTAACTCTATTCCACTTCCTTTAATTTAACTTACTATGAGTTGCAATGCATACGTTTGATTGTGTATATTCTTATTTTTTATGAATGTAAACTTCAAGTAGTTTGAAACAGAAGTCTTTTATCTTTTATTTCCTGATTCCTAGCATGATCTGCAGTCTCCTTGAATAGTAGAGTCATGTTTGATTCACTTTTGGTGCACCTTGGCTTGCTCCTAATTCCCCTTCAACTGGTGGAAATAATTCTAGTATTTGGTCAATAATCGCCTTTGGTATCGTCCACAAGAAAGGCAGTTAATCTTTCAACTTTTGAAGAAGTTGAATGGGTCGAATTTTACAAGTTCTTGATTCATGAATTTCATAAGGAAAATTGTTTCATGCGGTCTGGATCGCATTTTTACATATGCGGTCCTGAGAGTGGAAAGCATCCATCTTGATGGATGCAAGTACGTATTTCATCTAAAAACAATGGAAACTAACTGTCAAAATGTTTTTTTTATGAGAATTATTATTTTTAGTTTTTTAAATTTATTTATTTATTCATATTCA